ATAGAGACGGCACTTGCACAGAGTTGGGCTCTGAAAGGCAGAGGTGGCGCTGCGGTCACTCTTCCGTAGCACCATTCTTGTATTCTATATGCTTTCTTCACTGAAAAGGGTGGATTTACAGGTAATCTTTAAAATAACAAGAAGACTGAAGTTGTGTGGTTGTGGCTGCCTTTAAAACAATAACAGGCTCTGAATGAATGCCTGGTGGGGACATTTACACCAACCTCTTGAATGCAAAAAAGTTGTTTATAATTCTTCAACTAAGGGTTTCTTATTCTTAAGCTTTGGGCAGGAGTCTCAAACTGGAAGCTCTAGAGTTTACTCAGTCTTTATTCTAGAGTTTACTCAGTCTTTATTTATTTATTATTGAGAAGGAGAGAGAGAGAGAAACATCAATTGTATTCTTCCACTTACTTATGCATCCATTGGTTGATTCTTCTATGTTTCCTGACTGGGCATAGAACCTGCAACCTTGGCATATTGGGATGACGCTTTAACTGGCTGAGCTACATGGCTAGGCTTTTAACCTGGCCTTAGTTTACTAAGTCTGTATTTTTTAATTTTAAAATTTGATTTTAAATTTCTTTAGAAACAGACCCCAGCCCTGGCTGGGTGGCTCAGCTGGCTGAATGTCGTCCCATGCACCAAGAGGCTGTGGGTTCCAGTCCAGGCCAGGGCACATACTCACCTGTATTTTTCAGACCATAAGACACACCTAGGTTTTAGAGGAGGAAAACAGGAAAAAAATTTTGAAGCAAAAAATGTGGGAAAATATTTAATAACATAATATTTCACCAATGTAAATGTAAACAGAACTCAACAGCAGCATTAACAACCATTATTCCTCCCACATTGGGGCAGGGAGGGGTGGGGAGAGCATGTTTTATAGTCCAAAACATGCGGTAGTTGCTGGTTCCATTCCCTGGTCTGGGGCAGTAGCATTTGAGAGGCAACCGATAGATGTTTCTCTCCTACTCTCTCTTTCCCTCCCTTCTTACCTCCCTCTCTAAAATCATTAGTCTGGTCCTGTGGGTGAGGATTTTAAAAAAAGAGAGACTGGGTTTCTGGGGACATTCCTTGATGAGGCCTGCCTGGCCGCATGGTCTTTGTAGCTTGGGACTCCACCCCAGTAAAAGAGGCTTTTCTGTTCATTGTATGAAGGAGGGTTGGGGCAGGAGGAAGGGGATATTGTTTTCTGATAAAATTATAGCTATATTATTTTTAGGATGGTATAAAATCAATTCTAAAACAGACCAGATTTAACTGCTTTTACCCAGAATAAACTGCCCTCCTCCTTTCCCCAGTTCAAGTCAGCCTAATTTACCACTTCTTATTTAAAAGCCGTTGCTTTTGTGGCTCCATTTGCCTAGCAGACCTATGACCTTGTGAGTTAACAAGCTCAGTAGTGGCCGGCTTCATCTCCTCTGTGCGGCAGGAGAGCATGTGATCCCGTTTACTATGGTCAGAGGACTTACTTCGGCATCCCAGTTGGCGTCCTGGTCAGGGATGGCAGTGGTGCCAGGGGCATAAGTATTAGGCTGCCTCTGATTTAGGTCATCCCCATACTCCTGTCCCTTGGGCCAAATACAGCCTCTCCTTCCAAATTGGTACATGTAGCAAAGATAATATGAATATCTCTCCAGGAGAGGTCATAGGACAGAGTGAGATACTCAAACTGCTTTGTAAACTTAGCTGGGTTTGCCAAAAAACTGCCAAGTCTGACCTCAATTTGGGAGAGGTCTGACATTGAAAAGGAATAATGCCCTCTAATCCAGCAACCTCCTGGAGAGGGAACTGGGTCACAGGCTTAGGAGGCTTCTGAAAGAGATGGCTTGAACTGGTATGGCCAGGAGAAGCCCAATCAGAAGAGGCAGCAGGGATAGAGGTCTGAGGAGTAGGGAGAGCAGATAGAAAGGGTGATGAAGAGTCATGTGACGGGGGATATGGAGGAGGGGGTGCAGAGAGAAGAGGTCTTCCGAATCTTGGGAAGATGGAGGAGGAAGGGAAGTTGGTGCAATAAGAACACGTGACAGGAAGTTCGGAGATCAGGATGGTGAGAATTTGAAAAAGGCCTGAATGTAAGGAACCTCAGACCATTTCTCAGAGCAGTGACAGTACAAGTCAAGTTGGAGGATAATATTATAGTTAAGAGATTCATTCATGGGCCAGACTTCCTGGTCAGGCAGTTTGTATTGAGGCCGGGCTGTGTTGCAATAGAAAATCAAGCGCTTGGGTTTGAGGTCGGAAGCCTTCGCGTTCTTCCATACCTAACCCAATGGGGATTCCTTGGGTGGGGTATTTCAATATTGTCCATGGTGAAACTACAAAAAAGAAAAGGGAAGGATATCTCAGGGATGAGAACAACTGGAGGTGAGGCGAGGTTTGAGAAGGGCACCCCCAACTCAAAAGGCCCAGAGGTCTGTGGCCAGAGCTGAGCATCCTCGAACCTGAGGGCAGACTGAACACAGGTTCTGCCTCAGAGCCAGGCATCTCTGGGCCCCGAGAGCCGACTGAACCAGCAGGGAGATGGTTGGAAGCATCCCTCCCAGCTGAAACCCTGTGAAAGTGATAGACTCAGTACTGGGGTTTACAAAGTGACAAGGGTATATATAAGCTATCACCTTCAATAGGAGTTTTTGTCCCAAGATTCAGGGAGACCTACCAATCGCTGGCCATTAAGATGGGCGAGAAGGAGGCTGTCCCCAGAGTCCGGAGAGATGGAGAAGGATTAGAATCCTCTCTCCAAACCTCACAGAGACAGGGTTAGGGGGTCAGCCCAGGTCCAGCTTCCACTGCCCACTACTCCTCTAGTCCCAAGTCTCAGGAGGCTGGAGGAGAGGGAGAAATAGAGAATGTTCCTGTACAGGCCACCAAAAAGTTAAGGTGGTCGGTGACACTGGCTGTGAAGGAATTTACAAAGAGAAGAAAGTGTAGAGAATAAAATTTTTATTCACTGTCTGAGAAAGGAGAGGGGTATGGTGTGGAGAGATGCACCAGACTTGAGGGGTGGGGGCTGGGAACTTTCTTTGGGTTACAATTGGATTAAAAATGGTGGGGGCATAGCTATTGTGTGGGGCATGGATGCTGCAGTTTGTTCCAACGTTATCTTCTGCCTGTGGCTGTAGAGCGAGGTTCTGTTCTTGTTCCAGTAATTTCCAGTGCTGGGGACAAGCTCAGAAGAATAAAATGGCAGTCATGCTTCACAAGGTCACAGGCCTGCTCAGCAATGGTGCCGCAGTAGCAAATGGGGCTGGCTTTGTCCTTTCAACAGGTATTACGATTCTTCTTTTCTCCATTCCAGTAGTATTTCAAACATCCCTTTTCCAGCCCAGCTTCTAAATGGTGCTATTCCAAGCCTGTATCAGCAAACTGTCAAGGCAGTTTCATTGGGAGTCGTTGATGATCTATTTTGTCTGAAAATGATGAAGAGGTGGATCCAAGTGGCATCAAGGTCTGTGGGTAGAAAACAGCTCTTAGGGAACGTGAGCCTAGTGGTCCTGCAACGCCGAGTTACAATGCGACTTAGTTTGCACATGGCCGCCGGTGGTAGACAAGACCCCACGCACAACTGCCCAAGCAGGGCTGCAACTCTCCGCGGGGGTGAGGAGGGTATCAGAATGGGGTACTGCCTGCACTCAGAAAGGTGGCCGCTGGTGGCACACACTCTTGTGCCCCAGCCCGAGACATCTGGTGGCAGGGACTAGGGCTTTGGTTTTCCCGACTCAAGAGGGACCAGGAGGGTGGAGGGGCTGCGTGAGAGGATGCGCGGTTTCCTGCCTCTCGCCCTGCGTTGGGTCAGGGGCGGTGGCGGCAGACTCCCTGCGGTCAGTGCCGCTCCCTTTCGCATCCAGCCGCGCTCTGCGTGCTGCCGCAGCCGTTCTCTGCAGTCCGGAGCTCCCGCAGCCTCTCCATGGCCAGCCTGCCCAGCGCTGCCGCGGCCCTCTCCCGCCAGGTACCTTGAGCCCGGGAGTTTGAGGAAGGGGGGTGGATTAGAGTCCGAGTCTCCTAAGTGCGCGGGGCCTGGCTAGGCGCATTGCCGCCCTTGCCTGCAACATTCTGCCTCCACCGAGATATCTCCTCTTACCACAGCCCTGCCCAAAATCTAGGGTCCTAGCCTGTGAACTCCGCCTCAGATAGGCCCCCGCCGGCCAAGTCTAAAACCCAGCAGAGATGTGCCGCTAGCACTGAGAGCACCCCCACCCAGGGACGTGAGAGTCGCCATGGAAACCGCTTTGGGGAAGGGGGTGGGAGCGGGATTTCTGGGCTGCCAGAACTGACAGCAACATCCTACCTGCCTTTGCCACCCCAAAATATTTTGCCCGCAGCCTTCTGCTTCCTTGGATCCCTTTTTCCCCTCTCTCCTGCAGTTACTTAGCAAATTAGGCTGTATTAAAAAAATTTTAAGGTCTGCATCTTTCTCCAATTTGCCATTCTCCCTTTCTGTCCTTAAGTGTCTTTTAAATTACCCCCAATTCCATGAAGTTTTGTCTTTGGCCTCTGGTGTTTGGTGTCCCTGCGCCTGCATGGGAGGACCCTGCCCAGGGAGAACATGATTCACTCTCCTCCCCATCCCTTTTCCAGGCTCGCTATTGTATGCCGGAGATTGACAAGACCACGAGGCTGAGCGCACCCTGGAGATTTTTCTATAAATGGCTTAAAACCCTGGACTAGACTATTTGCTCAGATATAAGGGAGACAATTGCCTTCTTGTTCTTTGCTAGTGAACCGTGGCTCTGTAGGGCTAACCTGGATTTTAAGCAGCCTGCACAAGCCAGCGGTGGAAGACAAAAACAGTCACGACCTGGGGCAGGGTGGGAAGTGAGGGACATCACTCTCAGGACCTTTTCCTGTGGGGCTATGCCTGGGTGTTCCAGCCTCCTTTTCCTGTTTGCTTGGGTACTGCAGCAGAGCACGATTGTGATGGTGAGTGATATTGCTTACCCCAGGCCCCTGGTACCCACCTGGTTTTACTTAATTAATGGATTTCATTCCTCTTTAAGGACTGCAATAATGGATGCTTGGAAGAATGTGCCAGAGAAGCAGGATCAAATGCGGTTATGAGAACTTTAAAGGTAAATTATGTGCCAGAGATTAAGTCAAACAATTCAACTAAGGAAATTCATTTCTTGTTGACATTTGGGGCAATTTTCACTGTGCTGGTTATACAGTAGTTTTTTTGTTTTGCTTTTAAATCCTCACTCGGAGGACATGCTTATTGGTTTTAGAGAGAGAGGGGAAGGGAGGAAGAGAGAGGAGAGAAACATTGATGTGAGAGAGAAACGTGGATGAGTTACCTCTTTTCTGTGCTTGGATCCCGACCAGGGACTGAACCTGCCACCTAGGCATGTGCCCTGACCAGGAATCAAACCTACAACCTTTTGGTTTATAGGAGGACACTCCAACCAACTGAGCAACACTGGCCACAGCTATAGTAGTTTGATATGTTGCTATGCCTTTAAAAAATAATTTAGGGAGCAGGAGTATATACATCACATCTAAAACTACCTAGCAGTTAATAATTGCTTATAGTATTTCATAAATTATTAATATTCATTGGAAAGTTATCAATTAATGAATATTTACCTAAAGGTTTATCTGACTGTATAACCCTCACTCCATTTGTGCAAAAAGTTAAGTTTGTGATTTTTCTCTTTAAGCAGCACCTAATATCTTACAGTAAAATTTTCTTCTTTTCCCAATGAATTATGGTTTTATGTATTAAATCTCATGCTTCACAGAAGAATAATGAGGAACAACTGAAAAAGAGTCATGTAAAAGTACTTTGAAACCAATAAAAATACAAATGTAAGGTATTATTTTCTCTGTAGTCATCATCACCTCCACCTCCGCCTCCTCCTTCCCTCCCCAACCACCAAGGTTTTTTGCTGCTGCTTTTTATGCCTGGTTCTGCCCTCCTGCTGCCTGTTTCAGGCACTGCCAGTGGTCATCCACAGCACAGAGTGTCCTGATGATCTCATGTCTGGCAGGGTTCAGAGAGGGAGTGAAATTTGACCCATGTTTTACAACTACCCCCTCCAGCTTTTACTGTGTACCAGTGACTTGTTAGGCATTGGAAATCCAAAGATATAGTCAAGATAAGGTCCCTGCACTCAGGATTTTTTAAAAATCAAAACACAATAGAATATACTAATTTCTTCACAAAAGTGAGTATGTGGATCCTATTTGTCCATATTATTAGTGGTCCTTTACAGAGAATATCCTTTATAACCTTGTAGCCAATCTGCTTTCTCTATTGAGACTAAATGCTAACACATTTTTGGGGCCTGAGATTTTGAGATATGGGTCCTTGAAATAATGAGATAAAAGGGACTCTTACTTGATAATCTCTAAGGGTCATCTATTACAGTAAATAGATTACTCAAAGGGTATATAGATGAATAAAAATTTTCCCAAAAGGTCTTTATACTTTTTTTCAGACAGTACATTTATTAAAGCTGGGGACAGTGAAACAAGGGCTTAGGGTGGAAGCAGCAGCAGAAGAGAGCCCAGGCAGGGCTGCTGTCAGCTCAGTGAGAAGTAAGGGAAAAGGGGCCTTGGAGATAGGTTCAGGGGGTTAGCTCAGGACAAGGTGCTGCCGCCCGCTGCTCCCCTGGCTGCAGGACTCCTGGGTCCTTTAGAGTTTGGGAGATGCACGCCTGAGAGGGGAGAAGAGGGGGAGGGAAAGGCACAACTGTGCTTCCCCGAAGGGGGAGTACATTCTTTATCCTTTCATACACAGAGTAACTATTTTACTCTGAGTAGTTCTTTACAGAGTAACTATTTTACTGAGTAAATTCTTTACTCAAAGTAAAGAATTCACAGAGTAAGTAATGTCTTTATTTGTTAATTTAGACTTCTATTTATTGGATTTTAGTTGAGGGAGGCATATTGACATTTATACTCATGAATTTACCTATCAAAATGTGGTTGTATTCATAGTGCATATGTGATGAAGCAAGAGAAAAATGAAATTGATAATTTTGAGAGAAAGTGGTGCATTTTAAAGGACCATCTTTGCTTTTGACCCATTTTTTAACCTCTTTCTTGATTTACCCCATGTATAACTTTTAAATTGCCTCTCGGGGCTCTAGTGGATAGTTTTCATATTGCATTCCCTCTCCCATTTTGAGGCAGTCATTTTACAGTGAGAGTGCAGTGTTCCAACAAGGTCTAGCAATGAGATGCCTTATTACCGAGGAATCCTATGGGATCTCTTTGTGGACTCCAGAGTCTTCTTTGCTTCGAAAAGGTCAGCTGTCTATTTCTTCCAATTCCCCCTGCTTTATAGATCTCCACAGAATGTGGCTCTCCAAATCGAAATTCTCCTCTTCTTACCTCCTTATTAGCTTTGTCTCTAAAAGACAATAACAGAGCACTTAACCCTCTCAAATAGAGTTAAAAAAAGAAAGCACTTATTGTAGAACAAAATTCTGCCATTTCTGATACAGTAGTAATGCAGAGATAGTCTTTGAAAGTTTGCGTTGAGGCCTCTGCAGAGACGGGCAGATGCAACATGAAGTGCGGAGCAGAAGCTCTTGCCCAAATGTCAGCTGAGGCAGTCCTCTGGTGCTCTCAACCAGGTTGTGCTAGCCTGCTACCGGCTTCCCTATTTCAGAGCAAAAGATTACCCAAGCATGTGTTTTGAGTTAGGGAATTGTTGTTTTTTAATATGCCCTGTTTTTGTCAATATTTCTGGTCATTTCACAATCCAGTCATAGTGGCCTTCCAAATTCTCCCACAAGCAAGCCAATGGCATGAAACATTCTGACTTGAAGTCATTGGGGAATATGGTGCATTGGAAGGAGACAATTATGCAGGAGATTTTACAAGTAGTTACTTTTTTATCCATACTTGGAAAGGGAATGTAGAAAAAGGAATTGTTCTTTTAAAGAACACTCATTAAAGTTGTTTATAAAATTTGTTTCTTTTATGCCAATGATTTTTACCTTAGAACTGCATTTCGTACCTACACAAAACCAATCACACACTGTTAGTTAATATTGTTTACTTTTCTGCTTCCTTCAACTTTAACAATATAACATCTAAAATTGTTTAAATTTATTATTGTTAGGTAATTTCTCTTTGAACTCAGGTTAACAGCTATTATTTTTAGTTTTCAGAATGAGAGGAATTTTCTCAAAGAAAGGACAACCGGAGTTCTTGGTGCAATTCCAAAGCCACCAAATAGCGCATTACTCTGAAAAAGTGGCATTGGGGCAGCCCTTACACACAGATCAGAGAGTTGGAGGGTTGCTATTCACATCATTAAGAAATTGCATGCCTTACAGCAGAATGTAGTGGTTTACTAAAATAGAACTAGTACCTGGTAATATAATAATTTATATTCAGTTTCTAGAAAGTTAACTGGTATTAGCAAGTTCTTATTACAAGAACACCAAATTGAGCATAAAAACACCTTATTCAATGTATCTGCTTTGCCATTGATTAAGTTGATCTCTGGGCCTTAGCTTATATGGGTAGTCCACAAGAATTTTACGGAGAGTGTTTAGAAAAGTAAAAATTATATACCAGGTCGTGACCATTCTTAATGTTGGGTCTTTCAGGGTTTGTAAAAACAACAATCAAAAGGTCTTTTATGAAACATAGTAAGTACAATTTTCTAAAAAATAAAAACGGTAGCAGTCTATTATGTCAATATCTAACCATGAAGATGAAGCCAAGTTCTGTGAAATTTAGAACTGAATTAATCAAACACAAATGATACATATAATAGTTGCTGTGTTAAATGAGAGTTAGCCCAGTGCAATAAGGAAGCGAGACTTCCATTTCCCAGTTGTTCACATCAATTAAAAGGATTTGGTGGAACCAAACCAAGCTTCTTGGAGGGTGAGCCGCCTATGTGGAGGGGCTGCATGAGGAGTACGGAAAGGTAGTGCAGGGCAGTTTGAAAGCTGAGGATACTAGAATAGGTTACTGAGCCAGATGGGGTGCTACAGTTTCCACACTCACTGCTGGAAGAAGAAAGAAAAGAGTTTGGATAAATGGGAGGCATCTCATGCCCAGTGCTACAAGTGGAGGAAATGGCAGAGAGGAAAACAGTGTGTGTGTGTGTGTGTGTGTGTATGGCAGGGGGAAGATTTCTGTAGTCAAGTTTTAGTCTGTTTTTCCTTCCATGTTACACAAAGGTATATGAACAAGAATTCTTAAGGACAGGCACTGTTTTCTAGCACTGGGCTAATGTCTTCCCAATACAGCTCTTCTTGTTCCTTATTACAGTTCACTGACCAACCCTGGGGGACAACCTTGCATTCCTCACCTTCCCTGCAGTTAGAGAGGTCCATCTAACACAGTTCTAACCAATAAAGCATAAAGGAAATTTGGGTAAAGTTTTACTTTGTGGCTAAAGGGAACAAATATGTCTGGTATTGTCCTCTCTAATTTTCTTTTCTTTTTTTTTTCCTTACCTGAGGCTATGTTTATTAATTTTAGAGAGAGAAAGGGCATAAGAGGGAGAAAAACATCTGTTGGTTGCGTCCTGTATACGGTCTGACTGGAAATGAACTTGTAGCTTTTTGTTATATGGGAATGATGCTCCAATTAACTGAATCCTCTGGCTAGGGACTCTCCACTTTTTCTTTAGACTGTGGTCAGGTCATTAAAACTGAAGCTACCACTACAGCAGCCTTTTTTGACCCTGAGGAGAATGCCAGGAAAATCAGAGAACATTGACAATCCAGAGTATAACCAGGCCTGGCTCCTGCAGACTCGTTAATGTGAGAAAACCAACTCCCTGTTAGGTTTTGATTTACTTGTGGCTGAATGCATTGATAAATAATAAGTAAAAGACTTAGGCAGCACATTAGGGAGAGATACAATTGAAAAAGGGGGTTAGTGGGGCTAAAATATTTGGACTTGAATCTGCAGACATTCATGGACTTTGAACAGGAGAGAAACACAGGGTATTTGCTACTGAGGGAATCAGACTTACTAAAGAAATACCTGAAAGGACAAGTGGCTCAGTTCGGTGAGTAGTGTAGGATACCAAGGGTTGTGAGAATGGAAGAATGATAAGTGACCTTGAAAGGAACAACAATGCAAAGAAAATACTGGACAATAAATAATGAATTTGTTAATGGAGGCCATCTCTAGGAAGTGGGAAGGAACGTGGTAGCCACAGTAGTAGTTGCCCATTTTATATTTTTCATTTTTCTTCCCTTCTTTACAGTTAAAAATTTCAGTAAAATAATAAACAGGCTTACTCTTCTTGTTCAATAAATTAAGGGTTAAGGAGTAAAGAAGTAGAAAGGAATATGAATGTCAGAAATAGGGACCAAGTTTTAAAGGAAATATTGTGTTCCATTTTAGATTTGTAATGAGCTTTCTGGTTGTTTTTAAATACATTTAAGCCTGAATATTATTCTAAAATTAAAACAGATTATCATTCATAACATGCCAAATGATAAGGCAGCTGTAAGACAGCAAATTATTAATCAGAAGTAGTTAGGTCATTTGAAAATAATAAAAGCTGATGATATAAAGTGAAATTCTGTGTTTGATTTTGGGGATAGAGATGGTGGATATATACTTTTGTGTGTTAAAAGAAGTGGAGTTTGACCTTCCTTATAACTTCTTAACAGGTTGAACCTGTGCTTGGTTAATATTGTATAATTGGCCAAAAACTTCTTTCACCTATGATTTTTGTCAGCTTCCTAGAACTATGAAAAAGTTAGTGATGAGATTGTGATTTGAATGCTCATGTGGTTGGTCATTTGTAAGGGGCAAGCTGGCTCCGTGCAGTGCTGGTGAAATGCTGCTGCATGAGGTTATTTCCTATTGCTCTATTTATCTTTCTCTCAGTACGAGCTCCCTTTGTTCATTGTTTCCTTGGCACAGAACAGAGGATTAATATGTTGGTGTTCATTCTCGACTTCTCTGTGTTCAAGCAGGAAAACAGTTGCTTCACTCTGTTCATTGCTTCTGCAGCTTCCCTGGGAGGTTTAAGGCTTATCCAAGAATTTGTTTTTTTTTGGGGGGGTTGAAGTATAACCATCCCCAAGGTGTTCAGTTCTTAATGGCATTCATTTTATTTTAACAAGTTATTGCTGGTGTTGCTGCATTTATTATAGAAGACACTCCTTTCTTCTTTGCCAAGTGCTCAACATGGGACCTATAATGGTAACAAAGAGGAGATGTGTTCCCTTTTCTGATTCATTTTACCCCATCTGCTATTTTTGTCCCTGTTTCTAAATATCACTGAATTTTGGTTCTGATACTTACTAGGCAGTGTACATTGCTGAGATTCCAAATAGCAGGCTAAATTCTGAATGCAGGCATGATTTGTCTGGCTCATATAATGTTAAATTTCTGAGCTGGTTGCCAACATTTGCAAGTCAAGTGGAGGTGTAGGGGGTAGGGAAATGGGTGAAGGTGGTCAGAAGGTTCACCATTCCAATGATAAGGTAAAGAAGTTTTGGGGATAGCAGAGTCAAGTGATTTCAATTGTTAATGGCCAGCGACTTAAATTTTATGGGTTTTTTTTTTAACTCTCTTTATCTGTAGCCAGTAGATGTTCAGTTGCTTTTCTTTAATGGTGCTGATTTCTCTTCCCCAGGCTAAAGATCTAATAATCACACCAGCCACCACTTTAAAGGAGAAACCAGACCCAAATAATGTGGTTTTTGGAACCGTTTTCACGGATCACATGTTGACAATCGAGTGGTCCTCAGAGTTTGGATGGGAGAAACCACATATCAAGCCTTTTCAAAACCTGTCCTTGCATCCTGGCTCGTCGGCTTTGCACTATGCAGTGGAGGTAAGTGCAAAGCAGTGAAGGCTGGTGACACATGGTTGTTCTTCGCTGCAGACATCAAGTACCTCCCCTTGCTACCATTGCTTTTGGGCAGCATGGTCCTGACCATATTTACCCAAGGAAGTGATGAGTCTTTAAAATTTTTCCTATAGTCTCATTATTGGTAAGTCTTAAGAACTAATTTTTTAGATAATCTTGAGTTTTCTATAATGTCAATAAGAAATCATTTACAGCAAATGGGAAGGATAGTTGGTAAGAAAATTAGTAATCAAAAAGCCTGTACTTTCAATATGTAGTAGGTCACCTATCTTCCTGGATTTTCTAATAATTGAGGAGAAGCCATTGAGCACAATGTTATGGTTAGATTTTCGTGCTAACTGCTTGTTTTTATGATAAGTAATAATGTATAGTTATACATGTTAAGGGACATGTAATTAGATGTCATCCTTCAGGCATGAGTGGAATAAGTATAAGTATAAAATATTAAATATTTAGAGATGTTTCTCTGGTCCTCCTCAGGATTCACACTTAGATGCACAAGTCTTTGTTCCCTTAACTCTGATTTTATTTTACTTATTTGTAATGTTTACAAATTGTAAAGATGGACATCTTTCCCAGAATATTGGGATGCTGGAAATAAACAACAGTCTACCTATTCAGGGACTAAAAGATGGTAATGGTAAGTATTTATAACAATAATGATAATGTTACTTTTTTTATTGAATTCCTGATATGTGCCCTGTACTGGGTGGATGCTTTATTATTCTAACTGAGAAAACCTATGGCTCTGGATTCAGACCTTCTAGGCTTGAATTCTGTCTCTGTTGCTCCATAGGGAGCACTATGACTTGGGAAACATTTAATCACTGTGTACTTCCAGTTTCTTTACCTATGATATTGAGGTGGTGATAATACCTACCTCACAGTGTTATTATAAGAGTAAGGTATGGTGACTCATGTAAGCATAGAGAGCTGTACCTGGTGCATAATGAATGTCCAGTTATTAGCTATTATTAGCTATTAGTTATTAGCTATTATTATTAACCCTTGAAGCATTGTTATCACCTATTTTCAAAGCAGATTCAGAAAAGTTAACTTTCCTGCTCAAAAGTACACAGCATTAAGAGAAGAGGAGTCAGGGTTCAAATGCCAAGCTCCTACCGTCTGTGATGTTACCCCTGACTGTGTACACTGATATTACAAAAAGGCCTCTTCAGTTGTTGTGTTCAAAATTATAAATTCAAATAATTGGAAACATATTCGCTGTCCCCATGTGCCCACTAAATGTTGAATTTAGACTTTCATTCCCATCTTTGTGTCTTAAATGTAGCAAGTGGGATGAGTTCTTTATTATTTAGTCTAAGCTTCATTCATTATAAAATAAGCATGATAGCTGCCCTCACCTATGTCGTATGGACCATGGAGAGTAAATGAAATAAAATGCTCATGAACTTGAAAGTTGTAATCTGGCGAGGCCGAGGACAGTGATTCTCAAACAGCTTTCATCGGAATCCCAGCTCCACCCTCAGAGGTTCTGGTTTCTAACAAGTTGTCCCGTGTCATGCTAGTGCTCCTGGAACTGCATTTTGAGAACTACTGCCTTACGGGAAGTAAATGAGAAAGTATTAATGTCATTTTTGAAAGTCAAAAAAGATTTTGATGGCTATTGGTTTTAAAAACTCACTGGAAAAATCTGTTTAAGTGAGTTGATTAGTTTTGTCAATCTAGATTTTTGTGACTAGGGTAGTTTTTTCAAAATCTTCAATTGCTGTTTGCTGTTAGCTGTTGTTAAATAAATCTGAAATCTGCATTACTAGTGTTCCTTGCATAATATAAGCACAGGGACTGCTTTGCATTAAGAACTGGGTTGTGTGTTATTACATCAGTTATCTATTGTAATGTAACAAATTAATGGCTTGAAACAGCAATTCATGATTCTGGGGGTTGACCAGGACTGCTGGTTGTTCTTGCTTGTTCTCTCTTATGTGGTTGCTTTCAGATAGTGGCTGGGATTGGAGTTGGCTCAAAAGCTTCCTGACTCACATGTCTGGTGAACCTCAAAGAGGTTGTGGCTAGAAAGCTGCATCACTTTTGGCATCACTTTTTGTCCCTGTGGTCTCTCCGGCGTGGCATCCTTAGAATAGCTAGACGTTGTGACTTGAGCTCCAAAGCTGTGTGTCACAAGCAACTCAACCCTGATAGAAGCTCTATGCTTTTCATGACCTAGCCTCAAAATCACAGCATTGCTTCAGCCGTACTATGTTGTCACAAACGCCTGCCCAAATTCAAAATGATAGAATATATCCACTTCCCCTCTTGATGAGGGATGTCATAGTTATAGAAGATCACGAAGGCCTTGACAAATTGTGTGGCTATTTTTGGAAACTATTGTCCATGGCATGTATCAGTGAAAAATGGGGAGACAGTGATGCATTTGGTTACCTCTTTGTCACTTGGGCACTTAGGTTTAACAGGTCAGATATTAAGACAGTATTAGGAATTTAGGAAGAGTGATTGCCATTTCCAGAGAACCTCAGGACCCCTGAATTTTCTCCAGAGTCATATTCACACCATTCCCTGTTCACTCACTGAGTGGATGCTGAGTGCCCGCTATGCACTGGGACTGTGCAAAGTGCTCGGATAGGATGGTAAACAAACTCATCATGATCTTGTTCTCAGAATTCTTTTCTTTTTTAACACCTGCTAAGAAAGTTAGGCAAATACTTTATTTCAAAGGTTTTCTCCTCAAATACTGTGTTTGAAACATTCATGTTTCAGGCTTTTGCATAGGTAGGACTGTTCTTTATACTGACACATGTTATTGAATGCCAGTATGGTTTTTAAGTTCAGTAATAGTTGTATTTTTTAATTCGAAAATAAGTAGGTAAGTAATTTTTTGAACATCTTTCTCTTCCACTCATCAGCCCTATTGATTTTAGAATCCATTTTATTTTGATACCTACAACCACATGTGGTTTTTAATTCTGAAAATATTATTTAATAGATAAATAGGTGAAGATTTTTAATAGTGAAAGAGAGAACTGTGAACTGTGAACAGAGAATATGGATAGAAGAAAATAAGATGACAACAGGACCTTCTTTTTCTGGTTGAAATAAATATTTAGTGAAATAAAGTATAATTTGTTAAAGTGAACAATGCATGTACTATTTAATGAATACTTATAAATGAATGCTCATCCAGGGAAAGAAATAGACCACTGAAGCCTTCATGTGCCCCTTTCACATCATACATCCTGTGTCTTCTGGCAAACATTATCCGTTTGTGATAACTTTTTTCCTGCTTTTCATTTTGGAGTATATGTATTTCTAATACTTTAGTTTTGCCTTATTTTGAACTTCTTGTAAATGGAATTGTATTGTGTGTGTGAGCCTATTAAGGTCAATATTGCATAAGATCTGTCTCTGCAGGACCGAACCTAACATCTGTGGGGCCTGGGGCGAAAGTGCAGAGAGACCCCATGATCCACCCACTCTAGCTCTTCCTGCCCTTGCTCCATACTGTATCACAAAGGGCCTCACACATACACGCGTGGATGCCCAGACCACCATAGACCCTTTGCATTCCCTTGGACTTATGTGTGGGCACACCAGTGGTGTTGTCTATTCTTGGGGTGAACCTAGGATGGCTCATTCAATCCCTGAAAATGGGACTAGGGCCATTGGGCTGGGATTCTAAAGAACCAGGTACTTGGGAGTCTGGTCTAGAAAAGAAACTCAGGGTCCAGCTGACTACTTGCTTTAAGGTGACAGGCACAGCTGGAAGGAGGTTGGGGGTGAGAGGCGATCTAAAGTGTAGGGCTCAGGGCAGAGGCCCTGGATGCCTTGATCTGAGGGTGGTAGGTACCACCGCATCACATGTTCCTCGTGGCAGTAGTATTCCATTATGTGAGTGTATTCATTCTCTGTCGGTGGACATTTGTGTGGTTTCCTTCTGTGAACATTCTTCTACATAGTATGCTGGTGTACTTGTTTATGAATTTCTCCAAGTTGGCAGTTCTCGTAGTGTGTTCCACAGACCCCTATGCTCCCCTTTCAAGAGATTGCAAGGTTAAAATTCTTCATAATAATATTGAGATACTATTTTTTCACAGTGTGTTGACATTTGTACTAGGTACAACTCTGGCATCCACCCTTTGCTAGGGAGTCATATTCTTTATTACCATGTGTCACAGTATAAAAACGGTATAACTTTTTCTTAAGTATATTCTTGGTGAAGCAGTAACAATGATTAGTTTTATTAAATCTGGACTCTTCAGGAACTGTCATTTTAACATTCTGGGTGACAAAATAGTAACATTGCATAAAGCACTTTTGCATACTGAAGTACTGTGGTTGTCTCAAGGAAAAGCAACTGTGAGATTGCTTTGCATTGTGAGCTGAACTAGCTGCCTTTCTTCCTTTCTTTTTCTTTTCCTTTTTTTTTTTTGTTTGTTTTTATAGCCCTAGCCCAGTGACTCAATTGGTTGGAGTGTCGTCCCAGACACCCAAGTATTGCGGGTTTGACCCCTGGTCAAGGAGCTTAAGGGAGGCAACTGATCAATGTTTCTAATGTTTCTCTCTCATATCGATGTCTCTCTCCCTCTCTCTCTCTCTTTTTCTCTCTCTTTCTCTTTCTTTCCACCCTCCCCTACTCTCTCTGTAAAATCAATAAACATATTTTTGGGGGAAGATTAAAAAAATAGAACAGACTACAAAACATCCTCTTGTGAGCGTTATATGACTGCAGAAAGCAGTGGCCATTTCGTTGCCTACCCACACCTTCTGGTTACTCAGTCAAACACCAGTCTAGGTGCTCTTGTGAAGAAATTTGTCAGATGTCATTTAAGTCTTCAATTGTTTGATTGAAAGTTAATCAAAAGGGAGATTGTTCTGGGTGTGCCTGACCTTAGCACTTCATGAGGGAAGAGATCCTGCATAGCAGTGAGACCTGCGTGCGCCCCTTTTCCTCTGCTGCCCTTCCTGGGCCCCGTGTGGATGAGCTG